TTATTCTACTTCAGATGTGGCTAACAATTACCAATCAATTATACACAGTATTGTATCAGCATGTCAAATGTCAACATCTTGCAATTACTGATGCAAAAGGCTCTTAACATACTTTAGACAGGTTTGATGCTATTACACAAAGGCATCCATATAATTAATAACTTGGTTAATAATCCCAATATATTAACAAAGCTTGGATTGTTCACAAAATGTGTTCTTGTTTAACTAAATTTGCCAGCCAATAGCGTACCACTTATCTGTGACAATTGCATTTCTCCTAATCTAATTTGCGAAGACAGAGTGAGAATCACACAAGGTTTGGCGTTATAAATGCAAAGATACCATGCACATTAAAAGCATTGTGTGGATAAAGTATTATAGTTAATTTGTGTCATTTGAGAGTAGCTTTCATATGAAGTGACATGAACAGTAGATTTCATCCAGTAGATGATTTTTTGGCAGAGATTCCAAACTTGAAGGCGTGAAAAAGCCCACCCCGTAGGGAATGGGGAATAATTCCCCTGGATTCTTTAAAGTTTACACCAGCATGATTTGTAAGTTATACACTGGACTTCTCAATTTAGGTCCTTATCTGAGAAGACTTGGTTACTAACCAAACCCTGGGTGAGGATAGGCTTGAACTAGTACCTGGGGTGGATGCAGAGGGGGTGCAAAGGGTGCAGTCGCACCCCCCTAAATTGTATTAAGAAAAATAATTGTTGTATTGTATTGTTGTAAGGTATGGCAATTTGCCCAAGACTACCACAAACCACCCTCCCCCCCCCCACTCCACGTCTAAAATAGTCTCCTAGCGAGAAACAAGCAAACATCACGTTCTCTTCCCATGACCCCGCCTACTTAGGGACCCCATTATGTGCAATAGTCAGAGTAAAGCTCGGTTTCCATATAATCGCTCACCCTATCGGCGACAGTTGTTGGGAAGGTTGAACCTGGTTCAACTTTTCCAATTGCGTTGCAGATGCAATTGAATAAGTGCATTGCTAACTGCCCTGCGTAATCGGGTTGGCACCCCGATTCGTCTGTGAACTACGACTGTCGCCAATCGGGTGAGCAATTCTATGGAATCCAAGCTAAAACTCTGGATTCGCGTCTCCGAAGTCCCTATTCTCAAAAATTTTTTTATTCCCTCAGGCTCAACCATGGTGGGGGCAGTGAAGTGGACCCTCACGCACCCCCTACCGCCAAATCCTGCATCTGCCCCAGAGTACTGATGTTAAGTCAAAAGTGCTGGTTCACTTTCTGAGCTCTGACTGGTTGCGTATTTTTTCACTTCGCAAAAAGTCATAAACAGTTCAACCTACTGATTTCGCTGCAGCGAAAAATTCTGATAGAAATGTGAATGCGCATGAACTGATGCTTTAGTTCGCGTTAATAATTTCGTCTACTGGAAAACAGGCTTTACCGCTCGGCCACTCAACTTGCACATGCGAGAAATCCATTAACGCGCACTCAATACAAAGTAATGGTCGTTGATATGTGCAACTTCTTCTATAATGTGTTCACAATGCAAATAATGTATTGGGTCATTGGTGCAAGAGCTTTTGTAGTCTGCACACAACGCAGGGTATGAGGTCATTGATATTATGTGTGAGAGCTTCTTTAATCTGCACACAACACAGGGTATAATAATTATAATAATTGTTGACTGATATAGCGCACATTGTAGACTAACCTCTATGCGCTTTACATTATTATCCCCGGTCACTGGATCAAGCACATATGGAACACACACTCAGACCTCATAATGTTGCAGCTGTAATCAGTGCATGGCTGCTTTGAAATGACCGTGTATCCACTTGTACTGTACTCCGGGGTGGAGAGAGACAACCGTAGATGAAGTGCTGTGCCCAAGGACACAAGTGACTTGCACAGCGAGAGTTTCGAACCATCGATCTCAAGGTTGGTAATCCAAGCCACAACCGATGCGCCAACCACTTCTATACAATGGGGCATAAGCTTAGCCAGCGAGCCGTCCGGCCGTCTTTTGGACGACCAACAATTATTTAGGACGGCCACTTTTACCGTGAGGGCTTGGAAGGCTTGGCCTAATCGGCTCGGCCTAGCCTAATTGGGCCTGGTCTACCTTTAGCAAATTTTTTATATTCTTGATATCCATCGAATGTTACATTAAACTAAAGCTACTGTAAATCATATTTACGTTTGATAAAAACAACCTTTATTGATTGAATGTACGTCGTTTTCATACCAATATTTGGTGGGGATTCCCAAAAAATGTAAGGCTTAACCATTGCCTACCAGGTGAAAGGTTCACTTAAAACATGCATTATGTTAAAAACATTTATACCCTGCTGGAAAATGGACGGTTATGAGTCGCCCACAACGCATATACATGGCTCTGCAATTACAATACTTGAGATTCCGTTCCCCGACATAATATTGTTGGTGTTCGTAACTCTCTGGTTATAATTAATTCATGAAATACCGTAAAGAAGATTTATAGTTAATTTGTTGTTATTAGTCAACAAAATACAGTATGTTTAGGCCTATCTCTTGATTCGGAGGACCTAGAGTAGAATTTACACTAGACTATGGCGAGAGATGAAGATGCATCTCCATAGCCTAGAAACATGAGGCATGTTGTGGCAAAATGGCTAAGTTGTAGCAATTGAAATTCAAGTTATTAGTATTTTCAGATACCTGATTATTTGATCTTTAAAATGAGGGGTCATTCATTGAAATTGGACATTTCAAGCCTAAGTTATTGGAAAGTGAAAGTACACTACTCTTAGAGTCCAGATAAACATGATTTTGAGTAATTGCCTTTCAAAGTTATTTGTGCATATACATTGTTTAATAGAATGAACTATGAAAAATAACGTTAAATAAACAATTCGTTAACCACTTCCAGAACTAATACTTTGGGACATGATTAATAAGACATTAAACTGTTGATCTATAGTGAAAAACAATTTTGATTTTTAGGCAATTTTTTGAGCTCCCATATTTTATAGCTCATTTACTCAATACTGGACTGTGCCACAACATGCCTCATCATGTGAGTAACTGTAGCCGTGCACAATCTATGTCTATAACTAAAATATCTTTGTGAAAGCTAATTCAACACTATTCATTTGAAGACAAAATTCCAACATTTAAACACCTTTAAATGCCCTCTCGAGATCATAATTTTCTATTTTTTTTCTTATGTTTGGGAGGGGGCATGTTCCCGAGTGGGTGTGGCCCGCCAGTTGGCTCAGGGCCATGCCCAATAGCTTCCATTTTGGACGGCCTATTTAGTTTTTCTGGCAAAATCTCTGGTATGGGGTTATTGATATTACATTCGAGAGTTACTTTGATGTGCACACAATGTAATCAATGTATTGGGTCATTGATATGATGTGCGGGAGCTACTTTAATCTGCACATAACACGGTATGGGGTTATTAATATGATGTGCGACAGCTTACTTTGATGTGCACACAGTATAATCATGTATTGGGTCATTGATATTATGTCCGAGGGCCTCTTTAGTCTGAACACAATGCAATCAATGTATTGGGTCACTGATACTGTATTATATATACTGCTGGCTTGACACCTGGTTTGTTCATTTCATCTGGTAAGTTCATATTGAAGGTTGGATGTGTGTGAAACAACAATCAATATTGACACAAAGGCGCAAAAGAGGAAAGGAAATCATGATGGCTATTACTCCTCATGTTGACTACAGAATAATGATTATCATCTAATTATTGACAATCACCTCAAGTGAGAAGCTTTTCCTCCTAGCCACCTAGCGAAGCTGTTCTCCATCAGCCACCGTACCATATTGAACATGAGGTTCACTTTTTTATAAGAACACATTTTATAAGAACACCGAAACTGAAATTGCTTAAAAATTAAGAACAAAATAAGAACAAATTGAGGCTGAGGTAAAATGTCAAATGAGGTTATTATAATTTTTAAAAATGGAAAACCAGCAAATCTACCTGTATCTTATTTGTTGTAGGTGTGACTATGTAATAATCTCTATAATACAGTAAAGTATTATATTGACTGTAAAATAATAATTTTGAAAAATGTGCAAAAATAATAACAAAATAAGAACATTTTGAGCCTGAAATCAGCCAAAAATTAAGAACAATGAGCCTGGGCAAAATTTTACTGTTATAATAAAAAAAAAAAGTGTAATAGATATGAATGTTGAACCAGCTGTCCCCTTCGTTTAACGTGCAAAAAATGGTCTCTCGTCCTGTGTGTGTGCTTCTTGTGTGTACATTATGTGTAGTAGGCTATTCTAGTAAAACATACACATTCTATTTTAAGTTTAACTTTTTTCAGATGCCATGTAAGAACGTCTGGCCGTCTACTAATTTAAAAAAAAATCTCAAGTGTGAGGGGAGGCCCTCCCAAAACCACCCCAGCCCCCAAACCTTCTCACTTTCCCATTATCCACCACTATTCTTAAATCCTAGATCTACAACTGTGCTGCCACACTTAATAAAGGGGAATGAGTTCGGCTTTGCCATTGCCGCCACACTTGATGATATTGAGCCCGGCTGTGCTGACTCACTTGATGGGAATGAGCCCGGCCGTGCTGTCTCACTTGATGCAATATGCTAATGAGCTAGGCTATGCCATTTGCCGTCACACCTGGTGGGAATATCCTGCCAAATTTAATCACCTTTTGTTCTTACATTAAAGACACAAGCACATATTTACATGATTCAATACATTAAAACCTTGGTTGGGGCATCTACAATGATCTGACTTATCATCTCAACCAATTGTAGGATGTACACTTCAGGATGTTTATATTTTGAAAAGAAATATGATGATTAATTTGGGCACAATTTAAATCGTCACATAAAATGTGGGATTGTTCCTTTAATTGCATTTGTCTTATTATGAGGTTTGTCAAATGTACTCATCTTTGTTCACCAGAAATGAGAAAATTTAAAATGTTTATTGGCGTCATTGGAAACTATAAAATTTGTTGTATTTTATTTCTCCATTTAGGATGGATCGTCTGGGGATTTAGATGAATTGGCAAAGACGTTGGCTGCAGAATTCAGAACTCATTACAACGATGTCTTGGAAAAAATGGAAGAACTGAGGAAAAGAAAGTTTTCCAAAGATTTTCAAAACAGTCAGGTACATAAAATGAATAATTATGTGTGTGCATATGTACGGTATAGTTCAGTTAAAATGATTTTTTAAATGTGTAAATAAAATTAAATAGATGGAAGCATATTGTTATGTCATAGATATACTGATAACAAAACAGACTTAAATGTGGAGAAAATATTTTGGTTTATGAGAAAAATGTACATTTTGCATCCAATCATAGAGCAAGAAACTTTGCTCTGTGATTGAATAAGCTCAAGGAAAAGTTCTGAGATATTGAACAATCCTATCTTACAATTTCAATTAAATGCATGTCCTTTAAAAGTATGTACTCTATATTCAGAATTTATATAAAATATTTATAGCTTAATAATGATGATAGTCATTTAATGAAAATAATGACGATGATGACATTTATACTCAATAGTAATAACACTAATAAATATTAAGTTAAACACACAAAAAAAATAATGGTGAATTTAATTTTTATATGTTGGTCCTCATGCTTAGAGTAAAAAAAAAATGACCGTCATGAATCTTTATCTGTGCTGCGCTATCCTGACGCACTGCTCGTAATTCAAGCGTCTATTCTCTACCTGGCTAGTCCATGTGAACTGTGCCCTATCTCTGCCTCTTTTTTTCCTTTCAACCTCCGTTCTACATCTCCCTTAGACCGAGATGACTACAAAATTATTTTCATTATATAGCTAGTGCTCTAATTTGTATTCTTAAAAAAAAAAAATACAAAGAGGATAATGGTAATGATTATAATGATGAAAATGTTTATGTTAATTATGATAATAATTATAATGGTGATAATTATTATAGTAAAATAATATCCAGGTTGTTAACCATTTTCACAAATTTCTTGCAGACAAAAATAGATGAGATGAATGAGGATTTACAGAATGCTTGCAGTCCGCCAAGGTATGACTACAGCAAGTGTATACAAACCTACCGGTACATCTAACCTCTGAATATATTAGAATTACATTATCTCTTTTTATACCATACATTTGGTATTTCCTACATACATTTTTATTAAAAATCTATCAGCTTGTAATTTATACTTTTAACAGCTTTACCATACCATAATAACAGTTCAATTTATGTTAGAGCCTCACTGAAAAAAACTGTTAAAATGCTATCACATGACATAGATTTATAATGCCATGTACATGCTTCGGCTGAGGATTTACAAAATGGTTACTGAGCAGTTAGCCAAGGAGAGTTGGCTATTCTACTAGGATGATACAAAAGTTTCTTTTCTGTGTTTCTGTGCATAATTACTAGAAAATATCTAGACCTGATATTTTCTCTAAAATTTTGATATTTATGTTACCTAAAGCATACATGTTGGAATGATGGTAATAATGTGGATTAATAAAGATGTTATAAAAGATAATTATTTTACTTTATATTTTACACGATGATTATGTACACACATTTGATAAGAATTTTGCTAATATGTTTTTCTTCTCAATTATTTTGTGTACATGTACGTGAGTGTTAAGTGAGCACAACTAAGGAGTGCTCTACTTTCACACACATTAAATAGAAATATTAATGGTGACATTGAATAATACCAGGTAATAGATCGCTAACGCTTGCTGAATGTTGCGCGTTCAATGTTTTTTTCCCTGGTCATTGGATACACAATCAATCATGCACAATGTGCAACTTCCGCAATTCCCTAAGGATTATTCCTAGTGATGCATGTAATTCACTATGGAACAATCTCATTCCAAACCATTCTCATACTACCATGTGCCCTCAATGTAGATAAAGTGCCTCAATCAAGGACATAATATGACTAATGTCTGACTCGAACTGAATACTTTTTAGTAGTAAGCCTGAAGCTTGTCTCTGCATCACACGTTTCCTTCTATGGTGCTGATTATTTGATACAAAGTAAGCAGAGGTATTTTATCCAAATAATAATTTAAAAAAAAATAATCAGTAAATATCAGATAGAATTATACATTTTAGTGATATTCATGTAAATTTTGTTTATTTGCAGCACAACCTCTTCAAGGAAGGATTCAGATTCACCAGGTAAGTCAATCATCTTTCTAATTAATTATTCAGTTGATTAATTTGTTTACAAAGAAATATGATTGTGCTATGGTAATGTGTTTTTTTAAATTATAATTATAACTTATTATAATTAAGTTAGTTAAATAATATGGTTTTAAAATATTGTTTGAAGGTTTGCATGGCAATAGTGAATACACAATATACCTTGTGGGTGTTCTGAAAAGTACTGATGTTTGTTGAGAATATCCAAAAGATGGATAGAACAATCTATTATTATTCCATACCGTACTTTGTATTTTTAGTATTTTTGTATACTGTACTATGAATTTATTTTTCGAAATAAAGACAACGAATGAAAGAATGAATTACAAACATCAAGATATTCCCAACACATTTTTTTTCAAAACACCTAAACGATATACCACAAATATTAAATTATGTTTTTTGGTTAAAGCGATTGAAAAGAGACATTTCGTTGCTTAATATCCCATAGGACTATTCTAAATTTTTTTTAGATGACAAATTTTTAAGAAAAGATTTAAAACGTTAACTGCCAGACCTTTTTTTTAGGTTTCCATTGTGCCAAAACAAGTTACATGTTTAAACATACTTTTTGGTTCCTATGCTTGCAAGCATAGGAACCAAA